GTTCAGGCTGGAGTTGATTGCAAAGGGTTGTCAACCAAATCTTACAGTGAAAGTTTGATTTCTGATGTTAAAATTAGTCTTTTTTTTACCTTTGACTGATAAGAAGTGACACAAGTATATGAAGTGTTATAGCTCTTTGACTGATGTAAAAACTGAAAGCCTGCAGTTACAGCTCATCTTGTTCTCGTGGTGTTTACAGCCAATAAGATCAGAACCATGTCCCAGTATTTTTGGACCTGACTGTACTGTCATTGTCTGACATGGACATCTTCTCCTGGCTCTGTCCTGGTGGCGTATGGGAGCGTAGCTCTGAGCTGAGACGTACAGTCCCGTTCCACAATGTCAGACAGAAAGCTGTGTCCCCGGCTGCTGCTGGTGAGGACCAGCGTCCTGTATATTCCTACACCTTCCCAGAGTCCTTTGGGACCATGACTGGGGAGACAAACCATGCAGGACACAGACGTTTGAGGTTCAGTTCTAGTTCAGATGAATATTTGTTTCTAATGCAGGTGGTCTCTTTGATGATGGGGGTGGGGTATAATTTTCCACATTTAACTGTTATCCTGCCACTCCTCAGCCGTACTCTCACAGCTGTCCATGACGCCATCTTGGAGGACCTGGTGTTCCCCAGTGAGATTGTTGGGAAGAGGATCCGAGTGAAGCTGGACAGCAGCCGGCTCATCAAGGTCCACCTGGACAAGGCTCAGCAGAACAACGTGGAACACAAAGTACGTTCCTTCAGACTGGGTCACATTCCTTCAGGTTAAATCTGATAGACTTGAATTAAAGCTGAAAGAGTCGATTCATTAACTTGAATAATGGTTTATTAGATTAACATTCGGTCCATTAACTGATGGTCTGCTGGTCACATGACCATTTAAACCTCTGACTGTGTTCAGTTTGAGTCTAAATTAGACACTTCAGACTTTAAACCTGGTTATTGATGTTGATAGGCCAAGTTCAGCTGGACTTAGGATAAATCATATATTAGTTGTTACAGAACCTGCCTCACTGTTCCTGAACTCCACTGCACATTACTGACAGGTCCTGTTAGAGCCCAGAGACTGACCCGGGTTTCAACCTGAACCTGTCCTGATGGAGTAGAAACCAGTTTCTTGTCCCGTACTTTAGACTGTTTTTATTCTTGATGGAATGTTTTGTTCTGATCAACAGATTTTTAAAGGGATCCCTGATTAGTTGTAACATTACTTTATTTGATAAACATTTCTTTTAACTGTAAAATAAAAACTGTAAAAATACTGTAGGATGTTCAGTTTTATAAATTTTTAAAAATATATTTTAGCATGGACGGAGCCATTTTATGTCTGACATGGACATCTAGGAGACATGTCTCCTGGCTCTGTCCTGGTGGCGTATGGGAGCGTAGCTCTGAGCTGAGACGTACAGTCCCGTTCCACAATGTCAGACAGAAAGCTGTGTCCCCGGCTGCTGCTGGTGAGGACCAGCGTCCTGTATATTCCTACACCTTCCCAGAGTCCTTTGGGACC